GAGTCTCATGACACAAGTAGTAGCGAAGATGAGCTCCAGATAGACGTTTATACAGATATAATATGTTAGAAAGACTAACTGTAGAAGGTTTTCTTCTACAGTTAGTCTATCGTTTTGATAGCAGCGATAGTGATATCGTCCAAGCAACAAGGCGACGAGAGAAAGAGTTCGCATAGATAGCGATTACAACAACAAAACAAAATTATAAAACAAACGATAACAAAATTATAAAAAATAAAATATTGATTTTTTTGCAAATTTCTCGATTTCAGCCAAATTCATATAAGTCCAATATCATTATAATATGTTAGTTAGTTCCAAAACCATACTAAATAATACGAGGGTCTGTAAATGCCCGTTTCTGCCGAAAAGAGGCGCTGAGTAGCTGGTAGCCAACGTCCAGAATGGTTCGGAGTGCTAAGGGTTAAATTTGTTTTGTTAAAGTTATAAGTTTTGTTAAACATTTAAAGACTTGCACGCGTCATAACAACGCTAAAATTCCCACGAAGCAATTTAATTAACGCTAGATTTACGGAGCACAAAAAACAGCTGTTTTATATTAGTTTACAAAAGTAACAATAAGACGTTTTATTCTGATTTTTAAGAAGCGTTATTGTAACATTTGCCGTAAGTAAGTAAGTATCTTTACGAATAATCTTTATCAATAATCGTAAATTAAAACATTAGTGATCCGTCATTTTGACGGGTTCCGTAAATCTAGTGTTAATCGAACCGAAATTAGAAAGTTAAAATTTATCATGGCGGATGACATTGCAACTCTTTCGCGTCCGAAACGTCCTAGTCAAATTCAGTTTGCTCGAATATACCGCGATGAAAATGTATTTTCAAAATTATAGATAAGAGATTAGTGTCACCCATGCTTGACCGACGCGGCGCCCAACGCGATAAACGCGTACGATTTCGGAGCGCAATCGCGGTAAAAATTATGAATAATTGCGCGAATTCGTGTTATTTCGAGAGGTTTCGAGGCTTACGTTCGAATTGTTCGCTATTAATTATTTCATTTTGTGCAACAGGGCTTGAGGGCGGTGGTTTATGGGAGTTCTGCCAGTCCACCGAAGCCAGAATGGGCAAGAACGGGATTGACCCTGCGACCTTATGGACAAAGCCTGGCATTCGGGTTACGCGCGACGAGGAATACAACGAGGGGACTCGTCACGGCAGTGCAGGCAATCATGCTCAAGCATTTCCTCTTCAGATGCAACAGACAGGACGTCCGCGCGAATCCAGAAAGGTAGACGCCATCTTAGACCGTAGCGTGCAAAGCCATTGTATCGGAACAATCGGCGTGACTAGAAAGAAGTACACTAATTTCTCCTTAATTCGCGCTCAGATTGCGCACGGAAATGGATAATTTTTATAATTACCGATTGTCAACAACTATAACAACAAGACACGATGCTCGAATAATCGAATAAAATCCTTTTCTCATATCCTCCATTTTTGTGCGCAATCTGAGCGCGAATTAGGGAAAAATGTGTGTGTGTATTTGCATACCCAAATTATTCGAAGACGACTTTTCGTAAATGAGCAGCAGCGAATGTAATGTACGGTTGATGATTCTCAGTGTGTTCATGATGCGTAGAAATGATGTTTTTAGTTAGATTTCACTGATTTATTGTTGTGGAAGAAAGTACAATGTAAACATATCGTCTCATTGCGTTACTTGGAACTGCGCAATTATTTCTCAAGAATGTACGAGGGTTAACAGAAACTAAATTATTAACCTTTTAGGCCCGACGCGCCACTATAATGGCTTTCGCGGATGTCATCTCTCTGGACGACGCGCCACTATAGTGGCTTGCTCTAGCAGCTTACTCGCTCATCGTTTGAACCAAATAATCGTCTTCATATGCATTGTTTCACACTTCTTTTGTCTTCACATCGATTTACAACAGTCTACAGGGTGTCCCAAAAATGTCTCGCAATCCGGAAATGGCGGGTTCCTCGGATCATTTGAAGCAACTTCTTCCTTTACAAAAATGTTCTCCGAGGCACCGTTAACGAGTTATTAACGAAAAACAGTGACCAAT